TTTAATTTGAAACTAATAAATGACTCGACATGGAGGTGTAGACCTAGCTCCATAGCTGGGCTAGTCACTGACGAATACAGTTAACCAACATGTTAACTAATCGATTACGATAAATTGGATCGAATTTTGCTGGGTTTTTTTTGGTAGTACCTCGACGTGACCTTGTTAGAAAAAGTTATTTTAATATTTCAAAACGAAATATCCAAAGTTATGTCTAGGTTAATTCTTTAATATTATGTTCATGGGTCTTTATTATACTAATCAATTTGAGTACAATTTGAATATATTTTCAAACATCTGAATAAAAATTTTGTAACTGAAATTTGATATTACTCTTGACTAGCCTCAATGGCAAATTATTCATAGATTCTAACATTGGCTTTTGACAATTGGGTCTCACATTTTGAGTGGATTTAAAATTGCTTTTATGAGCTACTAAAGTTGACAGTTATAACTTCTGTCAACATATCCTATATATATCCTGTTTTCCACGTTGAAGGGGGTGAAGGAAAAATAATAGAGAAACAAGAGTGAATATTTTCTTCTTTCTTTTTTTTATGCCGGATTTTCTTTTATTCAATCTTTGTTGTTTCTGCTCCTAGGTTTTACTAGAAGAGCTTGTTGAATCCCGGGGATACGTCTAATTTATTCATACTGTATGGACGAAATATCCATAAGGACAGTGTCCTTGACATGCCTCAAGCTAACTTTTATTCTTCATAACAAATCTTTTCAACAATCTTAAGGATATTTACACACTGTTATTATGGAGATAACGCTGCTAATGTCGCAGTTGATGCTACTACACCCGCTATATCAATTGTTTCTGTTGTTACTCATTGTCAATTACCTATGCCAAACGTTTTCCTAATGTTTCGAAAATTAAGGTTTTTGATGGAGATAATATTAAGCGCTGACAGGAATGCGTGTATTCTGTTTTTGATATACATGGAGTTGCTTTTGCCCTTACTGATTCTAAGCCAACTGAAGCATCTTCCATTCAGATGGATCGATGGGTTCATGCTAATAAGGTATGTAGACATACTATAATTTCTACTCTTTCTAATGAATTGTTCGACGTCTACGTTTCCTACAAGGAGGCAAAGAAATTTGGGATTCAATGATAACAAAGTACACAACTGAAGACGCTACCAAACAAAAATTTGTGATTGAAAACTAATACAAGTGGGAGATGATGGAGGACAAGGACATAACTGCACAAATCAACGAATATCACAAGCTGATTGAAGATCTCAAGTTTGAAGAAATCTCTTTGCCCGAACAGTTAGTTACTGTTATGCTTATAGAAAAACTTTCCAAATCTTGGAGTGACTACAAATAACAGTTGAAGCACAAACATAAGCAAGTGTCGCTGAAGGACCTGGTCAAACATATTATAATTGAAAATACCAACGGCAAGCAAGTTATTACTGATAAAGGAAAGGAGATTGCTACAAGAACCAACCTTGTGGAGGACAATAAGCGGCAAAATAAATCAAACAACATGTACGATAAAAGAAATGGTTATAAGCCCAAGATCAACGATCAAACCTTCAAGAAAAAAGATGACTGCTTTGTGTGTGGAAAACCTGGTCACCATGCTACTCAATGCCGAAAAAGGGTTGGGAATGATAATTCCGCTAAGGCTAAAGTAAATTTAACTGAAGCCAAAGCGGATGGCACAATTGTTGCGGTTGTTTCTCAAGTTAATCTTGTGACCAATATGAAAGGTTGGGTGTTAGATTCTGGTGCCACTAGGCACATATGAGCTAACAAAAAGAACTTTGTGTGCTACACCCAAGTTGAAGAAGGAGAAGAATTTGTATATCTTGGTGACTCAAGAACTACTCAAGTTCTTGGAAAAGGCAAAGTTCTTCTCAAACACGCATCTGACAAAACTTTGACATTAAATGATGTGTTGCACGTTCCTAGTATCCGAGCCAATTTGATCTATGTGAGATTATTAGAAAAAGTGGGGGTGAAGGTTTTTTTGAATCTGATAAGGTCATGTTGACCAAGAATAATATTGTAACTATGGTTTGTTCGTACTCAATGTTATGAATGCAAATGCTAGTTCTTCTACTTACTTGATTGACTCTTTTAATTTATGGCATGCTAGATTAAGACATGTTAGTTTATCTTATATTAAGAAGATACATTTTGAAGGTCTTATTTAAAATATTAATTTTTCAAATATGGATAAGTTTGAAGTTTGTGCAAAAGCTAAACAAACTAAGAAACCATGTGTTTCAGTATTTAGATAATCTGAATTGTTAAGCTTAATTCATATTGACTTTGGAGACTTGAAACAAACTATGATTAGAGGAGATAAAAATATTATGTGATATTTATAAACGATATTTTTAGATATACAAAAGTTTATTTGTTGAGAAATAAAGATGAAAATTTCGATAAGTTTTAACAATTAATAAATATGAAGAAGAAACTCAATTGGATAAGAAAATCAAAAGAGTTAGATCTGATAGAGGTAGAGAATTTATTTTGTTAACACCTTATAGAGTTAGATATATGAGAATGAAAGCATAATTCATGATATAACACCTCCATATTCTCCAGAATCAAATGGTGTAGCAGAAAGAAAAAATAGAACATTAAAAGAAATGATGAATAACATGCTTGTTAGTTATGGTACCCCTGATAGTCTTTGGGTGAAGCCATATTATCTGTTTGTCATTGACAAAATAGGGTTCCCTGTAAGAAAACGGGTAAAAATCCTTATGAGCTATGGAAAGGCTATCCCCCCTAACTTGCAATATTTAAAAGTGTGGGGGTGCCTTGCCAAAGTGATGTTACCTAATCCCAAGCAGAAGAAAATAAAATCTAAAATATGTGATTGTATGTTTATTGGGTATGCTAAAAGTTGTGCGGCATATAGATTTTTAGTAGTAAAAATGACGTGCTTGAACATCATATTTTTGTTCAAACAAAAAAAGCTAAATTTTTTGAATATATTTTTCCGTTAAGACTTGAGAAGATTTCTCATTCTTCTATTACTTAAAGTAATAATACTTCTCATGTTCCTATTATTCAAATGATTTGAAAAATGAGGATTAAGAAGAAGCAAAAGACCAAGGGAAAAAATCTTTTGTTAATGATTTTCATATTTATCTTGTGGATAATGATCCTTATCAATTTCTTTATCTGATGTCTCATTTTAGAAAGAAGCTATTGATGTAAAAATAAATTCAATTTTACAAAATAAAACTTGAATTTTAGTTGATTTGCCTCCGGGAGTTAAACACATTGGTTGTAAATAGATTTTTAAGAAGAAACTCAATTTGGATGCTTCTATTGATAAATACAAAGCTAGAGTTGTTGCAAAAGGTTTTACCCAGAAGCAAAATATTAATTATTTTGATTCTTATGTTCTTGTAGCTAGAATTTCCTCAGTTCGTGTTTTACTCGCCATGACTTCTATTAATAAACTCTTTATTCATCAAATGAATGTTAAAACTACATTTTTCAATGGTTATTTAGAAGAAGAAATTTATATGGTGAAAGTTGAGGGATGTGTAGTGGCTGGCAAGAAATTGATAAAACTCCTTTATGGTCTATAGCAAGCACCTAAATAGTGGCATGAATCAAGTATTGATTAATGATGGTTTTTATCAATTGAAGTAGATAAATGTGTTTGTAAAAATGTGTAGATAGTGCTTGTGTTATTATTTATCTTTATGTTGATGTCATGCTTATTTTTAGTTCTAGTCTTGATTTAGTACATAAAATCAAACTTTTTCTGTCTTATAATTTTGAGATGAAAGACATGGAAGTAGCTATTATTATTTTAGGCATGAAAATTATAAGAGATGGTAATAGCTTGATGTTGACTCAAGAATATTATACAACAACAACAACAACAAACCCAGTATAATACCACGAGTGGGGTCTGGGGAGGGTAGAGTGTATGCAGACCTTACCCCTACCTTGAGGGTAGAGAGGCTATTTTTGATAGACCTCCGGCTCAAGAAAAGAAAAAGAAAGCAGCAACAACAAGAAATACCAACAACAAGATAATAAGAAAACAAGCATTAACCATAATAGGATAATAAGAGAACACACATTATCAACAACAATATAATAAGAAAACATGTAGTAATCAAGGATGTCAATAAACAAAATACAAGGCTGACTAACTACTACTACCGGGATGGGGAAGACACACACTCGACTACCTACTAACCTTCTACCCTAATCCTCGACCCCCACACCTTCCTATCAAGGGTAATGTCCTCAGTTAGCTGAGCAACGCGAAGTCCTGCCTAATAATCTCTCCCCAGTACTTCTTTGGCCTACCTCTACATATCTTCAGACCACCCAAGGCCAACCTCTCGCACCTACTCAGTGGAGAATCCGTGCTTCTCCTCTTGATATGCCCAAACCACCTAAGTCTCACCTCTCGCATCTTTTCCTCCACCGATGCTACTCCTACCTTGTTCCGAATATCTTCATTTCAAATCTTATCAATCCTGGTATGTCCGTACATCCATCTCAACATTCTCATTTCCACTACCTTCATTTTTTGGACATGAGAGTTCTTGACTAGCCAAGACTCTGCTCCGTACAACATGGTAGATCTGAAAACCACTCTTTAAAACTTACCCTTAAGTTTAGGTGGCACATTCTTATCACATAAAACACCGGATGCGAGTCTCTATTTCATCCACCCCACTCCAATACGATGAGTAATATCCTCATCAATCTCCTCATGTTCTTGGATAATAAACCCAAGGCACTTGAAACTAGCTCTCTTATGGATGATTTGTGTATCAAGCCTCACTTCCACATCCGCACCCTCAATTTAGTCACTGAACTTGCACTCTAAATACTCTGTCTTGGTCCTACTCAACTTGAAACCTTTGGACTCTAGGGTCACTCTCCAAACCTCCAGTCTCGCATTAACTTCCCCTCACATCTCGTCAGTTAAAACAATATCATCCGCAAATAACATACACCAAGGCATCCCCCTTGAATGTGGCGCGTCAATGTGTCCAACGGCAACGACCCCTGGTGCAACCCCCATCATAAATGGAAAGTGGCCTGAATACCTTCGCCCCCACGATCCTCGCTCGAGTCTTGGCTCCATCATACATGTCCTTAATCACCCTAGTGTAAGCTACTGGAACACCTCTAGCCTCCAAACACCTCCATAGGATCTCCCTCTGAACTTTGTCGTATGCTTTCTCTAGATCAATGAACACCATATGTAAGTCTCTCTTCCTATCCCTATACTGCACCACCAACCTTCTTACAAGGTGAATGGCTTCTGTAGTCAAACTCATGTCATGAATCCGAACTGGTTTTCGAAAATAGACACGCTCTTCCTCACCCTCACTTCCACCACTCTCTCCCAGACTTTCATAGTGTGGATCAGCAGCTTGATACCCCTATAGTTGTTACAATTTTGGATAACTCTCTTGTTCTTATATACCGGAATCATCGTACTCCACCTCCATTCCTCATGCATTTTCTTCATCCTAAAGATGGTGTTAAACAACCCAGTGAGCCATTCTATGCCAGCTCTACCCATGCTCTTCCAAAATTCTACCGGAATTTCATCTGGCCCAGTCGCTCTTCCCCTACACATCTTATGCATAGCCACCTCAACCTCCCCCATTTGGATACGCCTATAAAAACCAAAGTCACGACAACTCTCGGAGTGCTCTAATTTATCCAACGCGATACCCCTATCCCCCTCTTCATTTAGGAGTTTATGGAAGTATGTCTTCAATCTACGTCTAATATGCGTATCATCCATCAATACTCTGTCATCCTCATCTTGATGCACTTCATCTGATCTAAGTCACGTGCCTTTCTTTATCTCACCTTGGCTAGCATGTACAACTTCTTATCTCTACCCTTATCACTAAGTTCTTCGTACAAACGTCTAAATGTTGTCGTTTTAGCCGCCGTAACCGCTAACTTCGTCTCTTTCTTGGCCCTCTTATAACACTCCTTGTTCGTTCTCTTCTCCTCTTCGTCCTTGCTCTCCGCCAGTTTGACTCAAGAATATTATGTTGATAGAATTCTTAAAAAAATTAACGATTTTGATGTGGTACCTATAAGCACTTCGTATGATGCTAGTAGTCAATTAAAAAAAGAATAAGGGAGATGCTATAAATCAAAATAAATATGTTGAAAATATTGGTAGCCTAATGAATTTGATGAATTTTACTAGACCTGATATTGCATATGCTGTGTCTAGATTTAGTAGATATACTCAAAATCCGAGTCACAATCGTTGAAATGCATTAGTAAGAGTAATAAAATATTTGAGAGGTACCATTAACTATGGTATCATATATAGTGAATTTCTCATTATATTAGAAGGATACAATGATGCTAACTGATCTTTGATTCTGATGAGACAAACTTCACCAGTGGATATGTGTTCACCCTTGGTAGGGGTGCTGTGGCATGGAAATCAGGCAAACAAACAATAATAGCTAGATCGACCATGGAACCTGAGTTTGTAGCATTCGAATTGGCTGGCAATGAGGCCGAGTGGTTAAAGAACCTTTTGGCAAGTATTCCACTAAGAATTAAACTGATACCTTCTGTGTCGAGGCATTGTGATTTCCAAGCTGCCATAGTCATTGCTAAAAATTAAATCCTTCAATGGGAAGATTAGACAAATTTGATTGAGACATAATGTGATAAAACATCTACTAAGAGATGAGAGATTATGTGAACTCAGAAGTGAATTTGGCCGATCCTCTGACTAAACCTCTGGGAAGAAAATTAATATTTGAAACATCGAGACAAATGAGACTATTGCCAATTTGAGTTATATCAACAATGATGGTAATCCAACCTATGTGATTGGAGATCCCATGAAGTAGGTTCATATAGGTAATAACATGCCACTAGTTGATCAAATGTGCACTATTAAATTATGTCCCTTCCTATGGTGTATGTATATAGTGCTAAACTGCAATGAATGAGAGGTTGAGTTATTAAACTCTTAATCCAATAATCCATAGCCTTTTATAGATGGTGTATTGCATTGCAAAATGCACTTGATGGATAGACCTATATAAGTGTGGAGTGGAGCCGCTCCTATGAAATTTATGGCAAAAATGTCACGACCCCAGTTCGCCCTCCGTGAACTATCGTGACGGCACCTAGTCTCTACGACTAGGTAAGCCTAACAAATGCGGAAAAACAACTAATCTTGCAAAATAAATAATCAAAAGCCGAATAACTGAAAGAAATAGTATTTAAATGCTGCTTAGCATAAACATACAACTTTTCAAAATCTGATACACTATCCCAAAATCCGGAAACTCACGGATCCACAAGCTGAGAGAAACACTACATAGCTCTAATCTCCGGAATGTCTAATCAAGAACATAAAGTACAGAAGGCTAAATACTAGATGCAGGAATAGAAAGAGACTCCTCGGTCTGTGAATGCGGCAGATATACCTTGAAGTCCCGTAGAATCGCCTCGCCTCAAGAATGGTAAGCCTGAGTAGAGATACCTGGATCTGCACATGAAAAACATGCGCAGGAAGGGCATGAGTACACCACAGCGGTACTCAGTAAGTGCCAAGCCTAACCTCGGTTGGGTAGTGATGAGGAAGGTCATGGCCCTACTGAGGCTAAATAAGATATAAGGTTTAATGGTGTGAAATAACAGTGTACATAAATAACACAAGATATGAAGGACAACAACAACTATTACAAAGGCAAGTCAAACACAGTAAAAGAACACAATTCAGCTCCGAGATAACAACCGGGGATCTCCCAGGATACCGTCCTGTAGTCCCCAAATATAAATATCATAACCAGTGGATCTCCCGGGTGCAGTCCCGTAGTCCAACTCATAAATGTGCAGGGGGATCTCCCGGAATGCAATTCCGCAGTCCCAAAGTAAACATACAAGGGAGCTCCCAGGATACCGTCCCGTAGTCCCAAAGTAAAAGTGCAGGGGGATCTCCCGGAATACCGTTTCGTAGTACCAAAGTAAATACACGGCAACAACAAGAATTCAATCCAATCGATTCATATCACAGTGAAGCAGGAAATCCTAACCTACCATGATTCACGTAATACAATTAAGGAAAGTAGAGCAATTTAGTCAAGTAGATATGTTTCTCTAAGCTACAACAGGTTTAATGTCCAAACAGTGTAAGCAAGAAAAGGAAGAACACAATTGAAGGCTATTTTTAAAGAAAAAACGGATTTCCAACAACTAGCACAAGTACGTGCTCGTCACCTCACGTACGAGGCATTTCAATTACCACAAATACCAATCCTAAGGGGAAAGGTCCCCCACACAAGGTTAGACAAGCCACTTACCTCGAACAAGTGCAAGTCAACCCGAAACCACGCCTTTTTCACGAGTATCCGACTCCAAATGGCCCAAATCTATTCAATTAAGTTTCATAATGTAAATAACACTTCAAGTAACTGATTCTATAATTAAATTCTAAGCTAATACGCGAAATTAGGTAAAATAACAAAAATGCCCCTCAGGCACACGACTCAGAATCGGGTAAATTTACATTTTTGGAATCCTCATACTCTCACGAGTTCATACATACCAAGAACACTCAAATCGGAGCCCAAATGGCCCCTCAAATTCTCATTTCAAAGTCTCTTAATCCCAAGCCCTAAATCCCACAATTACTACTGATTTTTCCCTAAATTTCTAGCTCTAATCTATGAAATAATGACATAGGAACGAGTTTTAAGCCCAAATTACTTACCTCAATGAAGTTCTCTTGAAACCCCTCCTTCAAATCGCCCAAAAAGCTCCAAAGTCGAGATAAAAATGGTGGAAATAACCCCAAGGTCGCGGAACTCCTTTTAAATCACTGTCCACCAGTTTCCGCATCTGGGGCCTTGGGACCGCTTGCGGACCAAAGGTCGCACCTGCGACCCCTCTCTTGAACGCCAGATTTCGCATCTGCGGCTCCCCGCGCGCAAGTGCGGTACCGCTTCTGCGGAAATTACACGGCATCTACGGTTACTGATGAATCCCTCCTATTTCCGCTTCTGCGTCTCCTTTACCGCACGTTTGACATCGCACCTGCGGTTCCCAAACCGCAGGTGCGGAAATACCAGAAGCAGCAAAGTTCAGCAGCTGCAATATACCTCAAAACTCCCCGTCAACCATCCGAAATCATCCCGAGGCCCCCGGGACCTCAACCAAGGGCACCAACAAGTCTAAGACCACTTCCCAAACTTGTACCAATCCTTAAAACACCTAAAACAACATCGAAACCTCAAATTAGTCATGGATTCAAGCCTAAGAACTCCAAATTTCTCAAAATACGCTTTCGATCAAAAAGTCTTTCAAACCTCGTCCGAATGACCTAAAATTTTGCACACACGTCCCAAATGACATAACGGAACTACAACAACTCTCGGAATTCCATTCCGAACCTCGGATCAAAATCTCACTATCAAACTGGAAACTTCAAAAATTCAACCTTCGGCATTTCAAGCCTAAATTAGCTACGGACCTCCAAAACACAATCCGAACACGCCCCTAAACCCGAAACACCTAACGGAGCTAACGGAACCATCGGATTTCCATTCCGAGACCGTCTTCACACGGTTCCGACTACGGTCAACTTTCCAACACTTAAGCTCTCATTTAGGGACTAAGTGTCCCAAAACTCTCCGAAACTCAAAACCGAACATCCCGGCAAAACGAAATAGCACAAATAACCTTGGGGGAAGCAGTTAATGGGGGATCGGGGCGTAAATTCCAAAAACGACCGGCCGGGTCGTTACATCCTCCCACACTTAAACATTCATTCATCCTCGAACATGCCTGAAGTAGTGAAAAGATGAGGGTACTGGCTGCGCATATCCTGCTCGGTCTCCCAGGTCGCCTCCTCGGCCAGTTGACCCGGCCACTAAACCTTCACTGATGCAATGTTCTTTGACCTCAGCTTCCTGACCTACCTGTCCAATATTGCCACTGGCTCCTCAACATAAGATAGATCCTTTTCCAACTGGACTGAGCTGAAATCTAACACGTGCGACGGATCACCGTGATACCTCCGGAGCATCGAAACATGAAAAACCGGATGAACTCCTGCCAAGCTGGGAGGTAAGGCAAGATCGTAAGCAACCTCCCCAACACGCCTCAATATCTCAAAAGGGCCAATAAACCTCAGACTCAACTTCCCCTTCTTCTCAAATCTCATAATGCCCTTCATAGGCGAAACCCGAAGCAGGACCCGCTCTCCAACCATATAGGAAACATCACGAACCTTCCGGTCCACAAAACTCTTCTGTCTGGACTGGGCTGTACGGAGTCTATCCTGAATCACCTTGACTCTCTCCAAAGCATCCTGAACCAAGTCTGTGCCCAATAATCTGGCCTCACCTGGCTCGAACCAACCCACCGGAGATCTATATCGCCTACAATATAAGGCCTCGTACGGTGCCATCTGAATGCTGGACTGATAGCTGTTGTTGTAGGCAAACTCCGCCAATGGCAAGAACTGATCCCAAGAACCCCCAAACTCAATCACACACGCACAGCGCATATCCTCAAGAATATGAATAGTGCACTCGGACAGTCCATCCGTCTGAGGGTGAAATGATGTGCTCAACTCCACCCGAGTACCCAACTCCTGCTGTACGGCTCTCCAGAACCGCGATGTGAACTGAGTACCTCTGTCTGAAATGATGGAAACTGGAATACCATGCAGACGGACAATCTCCCGAATATAAATCTCCGCCAACCGCTCCGAGGAATAGGTAGTACACACAGTGATGAAATGCGCGGACTTGG